CTCGGTCCTGCTAGACTTGGAGCCACATGGGCAAGCAATGTTAACCACTCCACCAAATGAACAGTGATAAACATGCCAATTCACAGCAAAAGACTATTGTACATTATCGTTTGGACAGTTCAGCAAGCAATTCTTTTTTAAAGATTAATAAGCCTCCTTATAGCTTATCAATTACAAAAAAGAGATGTACCTCAAGCATACAATAAAAGATAGGACCCTGGCAGAGAGAGGTTCATGAACCAGAAGTGAAAGAACCACTGGAGGCTCTGGAGTCCCAGTCTCAGTAGCACTGCTCCAGATTCTACCTCCAAGTGGAAATACTTAGGGATTTTTACAGCACACACAGGAATGGTACAATGGTTTTAACAAACAATGGGGGGGGGCATTGTTTTAAAAAAAAAGGGGGGGGGGGGGGGGAGGAAATCAGTCCTTCCCTGTTCCCCTCACTTCCATTCCTTCCCCTCAAACATTGAGCCTCCATTTTCAGCCACTATGGAGAGGTGTTCTACAGGGGCACCGGTTCCAAACAGCCACCACCAACTGGCTTCTCCTATCTTGTGCTACCATCTTACACTCAAATTACCTTTAAAAGCTTTCACTGTACTGCAGTTAAAACACAAACAAAGGATAGTCTGATGCAAAGCAGGGAGAAAGTTCCCTTCCTAGGTTTAAGTGAATAGTCCAGCAAGTAAATTAAGCAAGGAGGAGGAGGGGGGAATTAAAATGAATGTAGGTGATTAATTGCACTGCATTTTAATCTTGTCATGTTGACTGACACAAAGTCAGAGGTTCAGTTGCTCTCCCTTCTTTCTAGGGGAACTGCTGACCCTTCAGACTGATAAAGAAACATCTGTTTTTTTGTTTGTTTTTCTTTTCTACTTTAACAGCTTATATTGCAATTACCAGACTGGATTCCAACCTTTAGCTAGAAAGGACACTTGCGAGTTATTTATTTAGCCCTCTCTGATAGCCTCTTTAAGCAGTTTGAAACATTGCCAATGTAAAAGCAAGAGGGGGGGGGAAAAGAGGAACTGGGGGTCAAGCCAGGGAGGAATGATTATAAAAAGCAGCCATCAATTTTATAAAGCCAAGAGAGAGGAAAAAAAAAAAAAAAAATCAAAGGTGACGCACTTAACAGGGAAGACTCCCTTGTTTAAAAACACAAACACTTAGCCAACTTAATGCTGTTTCTACTTCCCAGGAGAAAAAATGTTTTGCAGACAGCAAGCAATGTCTTCTGTCCTATAGAGATGTAAAGATGCTCTCTATTTTATAAGACAAGAGTTGGCTATGGTCACAAAAAGTTGCTGTTGATGAGCAAGAATAAGAAACTGGTCTCCCGAAAGTCCAAATGTGCACCCGAAAGTCCAAATGTGCATTTTAGCCATTAGACTGTCTTGACTTTGTCACAACCCAGTGATTTTGGTGCCTCGGCACGATGGAATTTTCTTGCCACATGAGAGCCTCTTGCACAGCGAGGGTTTTTGCTGCACAGAAGAACCTCGGTGCAAGAGAGTTCCCGCCAATTTGCAGGGTGCATTTCTTCTTTGAGCACAGAAATGCACGGTGCAAAGAGTTCCCGCTATTCGAATGCAAATTTGTGTCCCGCTATTGGCTAGTTCTAAATTATTCCTACGTGGCGGCTAGTAATTGGCTTGCTAGCTGTTTAAAATTTCATGCGACTTCCGCCCAAGCCGAAGAACTTTGAGCACGCTGCAGAGTGCCTCTAAAGAGATCTGACTTGCGGCTAGCTGATCGATAGACTGATCACCTATCGATCCTTCTTCCCATCGCCGAGCACAATCCCAGACGTACCCTTTTCCCGCCAGCTTAATTTGTGGACGGATTAACTGGCTTGGGCCTCGCCAGCTGGAACAACTCACATAGTTGTTCAGACAACCGGACCATCTGCGTCGCAACTACAAGCAGCGTAAGTAAACGTTTTTGCAACCATTAAACCTTGTCTGCCTCTCCATTCACCAGCCCGCCCTAACGAACGAGCAATTTCTAAATCACCTCGAGTCGGCTCTGGCCGTCCAAGACAGACTTCTACGTAAAAGATAACCTTAAAGGCAACGTTGCTTCTTCACCCCCAGAACGGTGGTTCTCAACCTTGTTATACTCAAGACACTCCTTGAAAATGCCAGCTTGTAGGTTCTCATTCATTTTTGGCTACACAGAATAGATCATAGCGCAATTCTATTGTAAAGACCTCAGAAAGATCTTAACAGCTCAAAATAGTTTTTTACACTATCAATTCCTATTTGAAATCTCTGGGTTTATATTGTAAATCCTGTTTGCACACCTAACAGGGCTAACATTGTGTGGCACCCCAAGACACCTGTAAAAGGATCTCAAGGCACTCCAGGGTACCATGGGACCCTGGTTGAGAATTACTATCCTAGAAAATGTCTCTAGAAATATTGTCCTGCAAAAAGAAAATTAGCAGCTTCCTTAGCAGGTTTGGAATAAGAGTACCAGGGGAAGTTTAAAACTTGCATGGTCCTGCCATGCCCTCCCATAAGGCAGCCAGCAAAAGCTTTAATGAAAGATATTTTGAGCCCTTGGCTCTACCAAATCATTCTGCAGTCCTAGCTCTTCCTTACAGAGGGGTGCAAGACTTCCGTTGCTTGAGAGAAGGGAACTTTTTACAACTTCTGGCAATTGTAGTGCTACTCCACTAAAAGTGGCATGGAGTGGAGTAGAGTGGCAGGGAATCGCTAGAGCCAGGACTGGTGGCATGCAACACCTTTTGAGGTCAGCTCCTACTGAATTCTGAGCAATCAGAAAAAAGTGCAGGTATTTTCTTTCTAGGATATCGCCTAGATGAACAGTTTGGCTCAGAAAAATCACTTAAGTAGTTGTTTCCCCACATCTCAAAGATCTGCTTCAATGACTGTCCTCTTGACCACTAAACTGTCCCCTACTGTTGAGTCCTACAGGGATTTCAAAATCCTCTTGATGTCTTTTACACAAAGCACCTGATTGAATAACCCTGACTTTGGTCACTTCACTGCAAGACTGAATTGCAAATAAGATCCCTAGGTTTTGTGTTTTACATTCAAAGAAGAAACACAAGACAGCAAGTCAGTTAAAAAAAGAGGGGGAATTCTATCCTTAGATATCAGTCAAAGTAACAGCTCTCAAATCAATGATCATTGGTGGTGGCAGAATGCCAAGTTAATGCAAAGTGATTATTTTGCATTTGGTTTACTACAAAGAAACTATAGTTAACCAAATTCTGATATTCCAGAAAATCATGGAGAGAGGCTTCTTAAGAGAGACACAAAATTAAGGGAAGCCAAAATGTGCAGCTTTAGCAAAGAAACTTTGATGAGACACACTGATGTACTTTCTATACTTCAGATGAATTAGGACCAACTAACCATTTAGATCCCTTTTTCCAGTCTTTACCATGCAGCAGCAAAGTTGATAACCTGGGAAAACAAAGTATCTCCGGCTGCCACAGATCTCACCAGAATAATGTGGTAAACCTATGCTTGGCCCAAAAACAGAACTAACGTTAGTATCCTATTTCTTAGATGCTTGTCACTGTGGTATTGAAGCAAACAATGAAGAAAGTGCCAGGAGTCCCAAGGGCTTCTATTCTCCTGCTGCAGTTTCACTGTCTATAAAGAAGCCAATTCTTCAAGTTGCAAAAAGATTAAGAAGAAGCCCTGCACTTTCTGCAAGAACCTTTTCATCTAGTCTAAATTCCATGGATCTATACAACGCGAAGAGGGGTGACCAAGACTCAGTGTCAGAGTTAAGAATCCCAGGCACCTTCCTTGCCTAGGATTAGTTTCTTTTCTGTTCTCAAGCCAAGCAAAAAGGGGCCAAGAATGGGACAGGTGAGACCATGTTGAATTTCCCAGGAACATGGCTAACATGGTTGAAAGGAAAAAAAGGCATTTTTCAAAAGGTATAAAACTTGGGTCCTCCAAAACACAGTAACAAGCACCAGCAAACCACAAGTTTCATAGTTCAAGCTAGATTTCCTTTTGAGATCCTTGTTCACACCACAGCAAAAGGGTTTTTTGTTTGTTTAATAAGAGGGTCAGAACCATGTCCTCCTTTACAAGACATAAGGGATTGGTGTACTGAACTCTTCCCTTTACTATTTTTGTGGGATTTTAAGGAAGTCCTGGAGTATGAAGGGTCTGCAACTGTTTCATTGTATTATGTCCTTCTGACACCAGCACTGGCATGCTAGAAGTGGACGCCCTTGTTAGAGTTCTAACTCAGCTCCTAACTAAATCATCCTCTCCCCTCTCCTCTTCTCCAAGCGATCACTTATTTTTGGGCTCAAAGACACATCTGTAGTGTATCTTTGTAATGGGTCAGCCTATACCAGAATGCAGACAGTTTCAGAATGTTTTCATGGCATGAACCTATAAGTCCCTTCTGAAAGCTGACTGCCCATAACCCCACAGCTCTCATTTAACCAATTTGTCCAATTTGTTTTTGTCTCCCTGGAGAGCTCATATTGTAAAGTGAACAATTCTGAAGACCAAGCCCATTGGCAGAAGCCAACCCAGAAGTGAAATTGTTAATAAATGTTTGTAACATAGAACCCTCGGTAGGTTCTGTCTTGTGAGCACAGTAGACCTGAGACAATTAGAGTACAAGCGCTTATTTTAGATACTTAAAAAAAAAAAATCCGATGACTGAAAACAGGCAGCAAACAGGTAGGTGAAACTGTCCTTGCATTTGTCACTTACAAAAGTAAACCCAGGAGTTGGCTCTACTACAGAATGCAGGTCACATGCTGAGTCTCAAAGGTCATACCTCCATTACCTCCTATTCAACACTTCCTCAAGAGTAGCATTGCACTGTTATGTAAGCAGCAGACACTGAAACCTCATGGACAAGTAACAAGTGATTGTAGGGTGAATGCTCAGTGGAGTTTCTCAGAAAAGTTCATAAAAGCCAGCATTTTCAAATTCATCAGAAGTAAAAAATGTTTGCTAGCTAGCTTGTTTTTGATGACACTGACAGACCTCCACCTGGTTACCTGCCTCAGCAGTCTCTCTAGTTAGCAGGTAGAGCCAGGGATCCAACAGCCTCAGGAGGCCCAGTTCCTTAGCACTGTGAGGTCCCAGGAGAGATGTCAGATGCAGCCCATCAGAACTGGGGACAAAGATCTGAAAACCAAGTTGAAATATCAAAATGTGCCATGAAATGCTGAACTGCTTTTTTCAGCCATCTCTAGTGCTCAGCTCTATGAAAGTTGGCCCCACTTTAAGGAATTGCAAGCCAAGCAACCATTCATGTTAGGCATCTCAGCTGCTCTTGATAATTCCAGCCAGCAGACCCCTATGTCATCATTATCACAGGTGCCAACTCCATGGATGCTCTGGGGCTCAAGCACCCACTGAAAAAAAAAATAAGTGAGTGCTTAGCACCCACAGAGTCACACTTGCAGACATTAAAAAAACCAACACATACTTTACCAGAAGCAGCAGCATGTTACTTCAACTGGGCTCTGCAGTGCCTGTAAAAATTGGGAGTTTCAGTGGAGCTTTTTGATACTTTTAGCTAAAGCTGATTCAATCAGCTATTAGATAAAAGCGCCAAGCACCCAATCTTTACAGATGCTGCAGAGCCAGGCTGAAGTAACACATTGCCTCTTCTGGGCATACTCAAGGCTCGGCACAGGAACCTGCCGAATTAAAAGTAAAGAGCCAAGTTTTAGGGGGGGGTTTATCTGCAAGCACCCACCGGCAAAAAACAGCACCTACGATCATTATGCCATTGCTACCCAGATGTTTTGTCATCTTCTCTTAAGGAGACATCAGTCAGGTTGCCTATAGACAGGCTCTAGGATAAAAAGCAGATACCTAATATTTAAGCTTAAAACAGACATAGGTGATCAACAGAAAAGGAAAGTGGCAGAAACCACAGTTACTCCTACTATTGAGAGCATCTCCCACCCTGTTGTCAAAGTGACAGAGTCCTTCAATGAGTGAACATCTCAAACTGGTCTCAAAGAGTAGCAATAGGTTCACTTCCAGAACACCTTACAGCGACAGTCTTGCAGAAGCCAATCCTAGCACCTCTTCTTGTCATATGGCCTGCTGAAACAGTTCAGATACTATAGGCATCTCTGGGTGCATATACATGAGATGCTTTACTGCAAGGCAGGCTAATTTGCTGCACCATAAAGCGTCACCGTCTACAGGTGCCTGGCAATTAAGAAACAGTAGACTAATCACTGCTAGATAGTCCCATCAGATACAAGTGGTATCTAGTAGCGCAGTAAATTACTGCACTTTAAATGTATGTGTAGATGGTGACATCGGGATTAGGAGTATATTTAGTCACATTAATTGCATGTGTCAATGTACCCACTGACAGCTATACTTTTTAGACACTACACAGGTACTTCAGGTATACCTGGATCTCCTGAAGTACTTATGGATGAGAGCACTGAGCTAAAATTCTCTCAGCAGGCAGAAATGACATGCTAAGTTAGCTGACCTCCTGGCCACCCATTAGCCCTCTGTTAGCAAGACAACAAGAGAAATCCCAAGGTCTTAGACCTCTTTAGGACAGATACTCAGAAGTACCTTCTTTCGTCATTGGCTTGCTGAGAAACTATGCTCACTGCACTAAGTGTAAACATTGTGTGGTAGCCACAAGGTCACCACTTCTAGCTTAAACTACTCCAGGTCACTGTCTGAGGTACAAGGACAGCACCTCTAGAAAGCTCCAGCTCATGCAGCATATATCAAAACAAGAGCAGGGAAGGCATCCACTATTCTATTCTCTCCATTTCTCAAATCTCTGGAGCTGCAAGGGGGTGGGAAGGAAGGGAGGGGAGGAAGCCAAGAGAATGTTCATTCCTTAGAACCAAACTCTTCACATTAGACTAACCCTTAAGTATCTCTACAGACTGACAGCTTAATGTTTTAGAGTAGGGATGCTCAACCTCCTGCAGAACAAATGTGGCCTTCTAGAGCCTTGGAGTCTGGCCCATGGAGCTCCCCAACAGCTGAGAAATTTGGCAGCGGAGAAGCAGTGGCAGTTAATGCTGCAACCCCACCCCACCCCACTGCCAAAATCCCAAGCAGCAGGTCAGATCTGGGGCATGACCCTCCCTCCCCACATATGGTCAGATCAGAACTAGGCTATGTCCCCTTCATTTCACATGGCCAAGTTCAGCCCAAGGCTGAGCTCCTTTTTTCCCCTTTTCCTCATCCCATGGGGCCAGACCACACTCCCTTCTCCTTCAGATTCGGGACGGGCCATGCCCCCTCTTCCCACAGGGCTGGGCCATGCCCCCTTCCCCTAAGCAGCTGGTTGGGGCTGGGCCACACTCCTTCAGCATCGGGCCATGCCCCCTTCCCCTACATGGCTAGATTGGATCAGACAAAGCTGCTGGCCCGCCCCCCCCCCCCCCCGACGCCCCCCCCCCCCCCCCCCCCCAATTCTCCCCTGCAGCAAGCACCCTGGGCACCAGATTGGGTCCACCAGGTAGATCTGGCCCATGAAGGGACCAGGTACTACCCATCCAGTCTGCTGATGAAAAAGGTTGAGCACTACTACTTTTAGAGCCTTCGTGACCCAGAACAGCAATGTTTAGAAGTAATGAAATGGACAATACCCAGGTTGGACACGCACAGCAGGTGACCCTCAAATGTAGAACACCTTACGATAGGCAATCAAAACAGCCATAGCATTATGATTTAATACTAAATTGTTCAAGCCACCTTTCTGACAGAGAGAGTTCCTCCTCTTCCCTGCCACCCTAACCTTAGAAGATGCTGAATCAAGTGTCAGAGAAAAAGCACTGATGGAATATAAAAGTGCAAGAGCTAAAGGTCCACTTCAGACAAGTCTAATGAGTTTAAACATTGCATCCAGCACCTACCTTGGGTATTTCACCCTAAAATATACAAAGGACTTTCCTGTGCCTAACCAGCTGAACAGAATCCATGTTAATAAATCTCATTCACTGTCAGTTAGCAAGGTAACTGTACCACTTCTTCCATGGAAGCATTTCAGGCTGAACTACTATCAGTCCTGGATTGGATATTACAAGCAAGCCACCCAGCAGCTTAAGTTAACCCAGCGTGCTGCAATTAATCGTTTCCATGGACACAATGGTGAACACTACACCACACTGCTGCTCTGCACTGCATACACCAGCCAATAACAGGTGCACACTAAAGATTTGGCCTATACCAGTGGTTTTCAACCTTTTCTCATTTGCAGAGCCCTAAAAAGTTTTGAATAGAAAGGTGGACCCCTTTGAAATCGTGTTTTGTTTGATCACAGTCATATTTCAGAGACCCCATAGACATAGTCTGAAGACCCTCAGGAGTCCACAGACTACAAATTGAAAACCACTGGCCTATACATTTTAAAAGCTCTACTAGGTTGAAGTTGCATATAATTAAAGAGGGGGAGGGAAAACCAGGCTGAAGAAAACTTTTTGGAAGTATAAATGAGGCAATTTATCAAAGTTTCAGCAAAACAGCAAAAAGGAGCAGAGTTGAAGTCTTTAAGTGCATACATAACCTCAAAGACTAACAGTTGGTACATTTTTACGAAGTCAAATGGCTTGAAAAGCAGTAAAATGCCAAAGTTAGGCTTTTATTTTGGAGGATATTTCTGCAGAACCATTTTACTTTTACGAGCCAAGACTTACAAACGTACCAGTTGGTAGAGGCTGCCCTTCACCCCTAAGCTTGGGCTAGGTCATCTTTCCACATTTCAAACTAAAGAGATCAATTGTTTGCAAGAGTACATGCCCTGAAAAGGGATTATCACTGCTCTTTAGCAGAATGGGAAACTGTCCATTCAAGGTACAGAACTTTTCCTCCAGCGCAAATTACATCTAAAGGCCAATTAGGATTTTCAGTCTTAAAATGATAGCAAGAGTCAAGGCAAATCATTTCTCTTAGTGGTTTGTAACAGCAATTAGCTACCTCACTGTTACAAATTTGTTTTGTTTTAAACTACAGAATACTACTGCTTACATCTCTCTCAGCATAGTCATATGGAAACTGATAGCTTAACTCCAGGGTGTCAAGCTTACCTCAACCCCCCAGCCAGATCAGGACCACAAGGCTCTTAATGATCCAGATCAGGATATGGTAGCAGCAGGGGTTAATGCAGCCATTGCTCACTCCTTACCACAAAAACATGCGCCTAACAGTTGTGCCCCAGATTTCTGCAGCAGGCCCCATCCCTGAATACCCAGCCCCGAAGGCTACGCAACATTGCTCCATGGGCCAGACCCAGCCCGGAGGCTGTAATTTTGATGTCTCTGGCTTAGCTGATCCCTTCTCTCCTTGAGACTCCCAAGTATACACAGGCAGGCTCCAAACAACTAAACAAAAACAAACAGGCATTTCCTTTTCTGGTTGAAGAGCAAGGACCCATTTAAAGCAATGCCAAGGATGATCCTCATTTGTTTCTGATAAGGCTTACCCTGCAGAGGACACGGGGCATTCAGGGAAAATTATTTTGAGGGAATCAAGTATGACCAAGAGAAGCTTGTTTCAAAGAATCATATTTGCCAAGATACCTTCTCAGAACAAAATGAAGCACTATGTACACCAAGGCCTGTAGGCTATGGGTTATATGTACAAAATTATACACAAGCTAGACTCACCAAGCTGTACATGAAAACAGGTGCAACACTGTTATGTCTTTCTCCTTCAGCTACCCTTAAATCCAAGCAGTATTTTCTCTTATTCCACAATGCACGGAGTTAATTTAAGTACCAACCAGGCCAAAACTTAATTTTTTCTTCCCACTACCCTCCCAAAGATCAACAGGAAGCTTTGGGATGCCTCTTCCCTGACCATTCAAGTGAGGGAAGGATGGATCCCAAACATTTTTGGAGGCATGTTATATTTCCAAGGTGCTTTTTGTTACTAAGCCAGTTAACGGTTACTGGCCTGGAAGCCAAGAGAAACTCAAACAGAATCTGCTCACTAAGTGTTTTGGAACCTCTCCTCCCTCTTCGAATATCAGAGTTACCTTTGGCTGCTATTCTAATCATTAATTGGACTGGGAGCCAAGAAAAACCTCAAAAGTGAATTATTTCCTCTGCCCCCTCTCCTTCCCTACCTTTCTTGTTTCTTTGCACTTTCGTTTTGTCCTATAATCCTTACTTACACTTTTATTTGGG